ACAAGTTTGAGGCAACTGCAGAGTGGTATTTGAACTTCCATCCTCTAGAGACCACAAAACACCCCGAGTTGGATGCATTTGTGGCAAAATTAGAGTGTAGAGGGGAAGTCCACATTCCGGTGGAGAGGAAGAGAAAAGCCCGGAATGTCCCTTCACCAACAAGAGATAATTCTGAAGAGCGTAATGAGCACATCTCCTCTCCCCAAGAATCTCAGAGGAGTCAGAGCCTTAGGGAATCTCCTTCTAGAGTCTCCCATTCCAACATCCCAAATCCATCGTCTCCTAACCCTCACCCCGCCAAGCCTTCATCCAATACCTTTCAAGAACTCTTTGATCGAATGTCAAAGAAAATTGATAACATTGCAGAAGAACAAAGAAAGAGGTTTGAAGTGCTTGAAAAAAAAGTTGATGCTTTGTCAACTTTAATAAATCAAAAGATTGTGAATAAGGTATGATGAAAGCTTTTGAAAGTCATCCAATAATTTTAATTGATCAGAACTGATCTATTCTTATGTAAAAATATGAAGGTGAATGTAACTGAATCAGGAGAAGAACCAACCAAGAATCCGCAGGAGGTACGTCGAATACAGTCGAATACATCGAATGTATACGAAATACCTCGAATGTATACGAAATGTTCGAATACCTCAAATGCAGTCGAAACGTTTTGTTCAGTTTTAAATTTGTAAGATCTGTTAATGTTCAGGTGCCAGAGACGACAATCATGGGTGATTGTAAGGAGACTGAGGCACGAAATCCTTCCCCTGACCATAAGGTTTGGGGTTTAATAGAGTTATTTCATTTTGTTTGCATATGTTAAATGAAATAATAATATCATTTCATTCTTCTTTCTCATCATTTTCATACTTCATACTCTATAGGTTTCTCCAAGACTTGATATTCTCCAAATTGTTGGGGAAATTAAACAAGAGCACGAGAATCAACCTTCAACTCTTTCTGATTCTGTTCTTAGTTTAGAGAACAGAAAGGTAAAGTTCTAATCTTAACTTACAATGCATTGTCCTTTCGAAAATAGATTCATATTTTTTGTTCTTGTCTGCAGGCTGAGTCTACCCACGAGACAATGGGAACAGAAGATGCTACCTCAATGAAGCCTCTGCAGGAAATGGTAAAATAATAAATCTTACTACATGTGCCTTCGAAATATAGTCATAGTATTCAAATGTATTCGAATTTTTTGCAGGTTGAGTCTTGCCATGAGGTAATGGAAATAGACGCTGCTGCTGCTTCTATGAAACCTCTGCAGGCTGAGTCTACCCACGAGACAATGGGAATAGAAGATGCTGCCTCAATGAAGCCTCTGCAGGAAATGGTAAAATTAAAAATCTTCCTACAGGTGCCTTCGAAATATAGTCGAAGTTTTCAAATGTATTCGAATTCTCTGTAGGTTGAGCCTAGCCATGAGGTCATGGAAACAGACGCTGCTGCTTCTATGAAAACTCTGCCAGACAAGGTAAATTCTGGAGTCATTGCATTCGAAATGCAGTCAAGTTCTTCGAAGTATTTAGAGCATGTTTATTTACACTCTATTTAACTGTAGGTTGTTTCTCCCCCGAAGGAATTGGGAGAAGAGGCTGAAATTACTGATGGCATTGTGTATGGAAAGGTTTGGTTTCTTACTTCAAGTGCTTTCGTATTGTGGTCTAAGATTCCGAAATAATTCACTTATTTTTTTATTTTAGAGAGTGAAAAAGAAGTCAG